TCAAAATGCAAAGAAATGAAGCTCATGCAATGGTCCAAAAACGAAGCATACAAGCACGACTCTCAAACGCATTCAAAAAGTGAAAAACATGGGAATATGGCATATATGTAAGCTCTGAAATATGATGCACAATGGCCCCAAAACATGGAAACAACTCAACATAAGCATGCAATAGGCTCCAAAACTCAAAACTAGGCAAGGGTATTGAACTACAACCATGTATAGCAAGCATTATTTGACCATGAGGCATAAAAATAGAGCTAAGGCAGTCCAAAATATGCACAAAATCAGTTTAAAGTATGGCCAAAAAGTGCTAGAATCAATGGCCAAAGTAGCATGCAATAAAAGCTAGTAAAGAGGATTTGCACTACAGGTATGTGAGGCAATCAAGAGGCCACCAAACCAACAAAATTCAGAGGTATAACATGCCAAATAAAGCCCAAAAATTCAATGAAACATGGTCCATGCATGCAAGAATGATAGGCTCCTTTGATAGGCTATAAAGAGGGCTATTCTACACATGCAAGATGGACGCCCAAAATGGCAAAATGGGCTCTGGACGGAGCCTATGCAGGTCCTAAAACCCACCAAAAATGGCCTGAAATGTGGCTTGGAAGCATGCAAATAAAGGCTCATTTGTAAGGCCAAAAATGCTAGTAAACAAGACAAGGGGTGGGAGGGTCACCCCTCTCTAATTTTGGTGCTCAAAAACACATAATAACCACTGAAAATCCGCTAGATTTTAGTGGTGAAAAGGGCCAACAAAGCTCAACACAAAGGCCCTAATGCATGGCTTAAAGCAAGATGAAATGAAACATGCAAGGGGGTAGATGACCCCCAACAGAAAAATGGTCTTAAACAAACATGTTAAGAAGCTCAAAACAAGACTTTTTTCAGTTTATGACAAAGCCAAAATATGCTTGCAAACTAGGCTAAGAGATGAAGCAAAATAAAGACAAAAAGGGGGAAAGAAGTGTTATCCTTGTAGCTCAGCAACTCCAGCAACTTTGAGACCAAAAACTCAGACCTTAGGACCTCTCAAGACCCTCCAAGAATCTTAGGTTGGTGTTGGAGGTGTTAGGCTAAGAGGTGTAGTGTAAATGTGCAAGAACTATGGACTTTTGAACCCAAAATAGATAGATATAGAGAGGTGTATATTGTATGCCTCAACCCTTGCAAAGGTAGAGGAGCTCTTCCTTTATAGAGCCAAGGGCTAAAGCTTCTTCAAGAAGCTTAAAACCAAGGTTAAACATCCTCCATACAAGCGTATGGAGGATGCAATCTGTGGCTTCCAGCTGGCACAGCTGGCACTAACTCAATGAGACAGAAAAGGAGAAAGCTGGCCGACCAGTTCAGGTGGTCAGCCGACTAGGATCAAAAGGTTCAGGTGGTTGGTTGGCCTATTTGGTGGTCTCCACAATGAATGCAAGCTAGTGGTGTGGTGGGAGACCAGTAATTGTGGCCAAAAAATGAGGGAGACCACTTACCTGTCAAGAAAATCGGCCGATCAGGGAAAAGTGGTCTCCAAGGAGAAAAGGTGGTCTCCCACCCTTGTACCACCTTCCAAACAATGAAAATAGGGTCCATGCCAAAAATGAACCAAGATGGATGCAAAACGAGGGTTCGGGGGCCAAAATGCGCAACCGGGTGCCCCGAAAACTGACTGTTAAGCATCGAAAGTGGCATGCGACCACGAAGGTGGTCTCCCGGGCCACAGTGTCCCTCTAGAGAGAGGAAACAAGGTGTGCGCCAAAAACTGGAGCAAACGGAGAAAGTTAAGCGGTCCCGAACTGAGGTGCACGACCGATAACTCCGAAAATCGAAAACTGGTCTCCAAACGAGAAAAGCGGTCTACGACCATGAAAAGTAGCCTACGGCCACTGAGAGATGGTCTATGAGACCTCTCCCTCCCTTCGGGAAGAGAAAACAGAACTTGGTTCGCAAACCGAGGCAAAGCACCAAAGAACCCCAAAGTCCGGAGGCAAGGCTCTCAACCGAGACTCCGTAACCTCAGAACGAGCACAACATGTGCAATCACTGAGTGCTCAATCGATAACGTCTGAGTCTTAAGGTCGATAAAAAATGGGGTGTCTACAGTTGCCCTTCTTTGACAAAACTCGAAAGTTAAATGTGACAGGAGTGAATGTCAAAGCCTAGAGATGACTCATTTTTGACAAGGTCGAAGACTTAGACAAACAGGCGAGATAAACAAAGAGATGTGCCCGCAGGCATGCCCGCAGGCAGGGAACAAAATGCAAAATGATATGCACAAAGCCGAACATAACTCATGATCATGCAAAGCAGCAAGCTATAACGAAGCAAATATTCACGATAAATGCAACAGTTCTAAGCAAGAATGCAAAGCAAAACTACATTTCATGCAGTAAGAGTGTAAGAGAATTACAATTCTCGCTACGTCTCACACGGAGAAGATACAATATCTGTGCGGTTCGTCTGGTCGCACCAGCTTCAAATGGACCGTACATACAATATCGTCCTGCCAAAAGAGAGAAACTTTAACAAGCACAACATAGTTAGCAACATATGTTCAACGCTATATCGAAACGTAGACAAACATGGTGTCGATGTCAAAAAGTGCATCGCAATGCGAGAGAAACGCGCGTGGCGACGTAAGTTAAGCATGGAGGTGTAACACCCTGTCCCACATCGGAAGTTTGCATGGGTGATCTTGGGCATATATAGCACCACTACATTGCTACTAAATAACTTGGACTTAAGCTTTTGGGTATTGTTGATCGACCCACAAGTTATTTGGGCCAGCAAGTAGTGGGGCGTTACAAATGGTATCAGAGCCGACCCATGCACACAACCATGTGGGCCACTTATTCTGGGCTGGCCACGAGCTTGTCGTGGTATTCTGATTGATTATAGACCCTCGCGAGGACGCGAGGATTTATAAGTGGGGGAGTTTGTAACACCCTGTCCCACATCGGAAGTTTGCATGGGTGATCTTGGGCATATATAGCACCACTACATTGCTACTAAATAACTTGGACTTAAGCTTTTGGGTATTGTTGGTCGACCCACAAGTTATTTGGGCCAGCAAGTAGTGGGGCGTTACAGGAGGTATGACAATACCGATGAAACGTGCATAACAATGCAAGTGACGTGCATAACAATGCAAAATAAGTGCGACTTCGAATGCATGTTTGAAACAAAACGTTAAGCAAAGAAATGCAAGCCTCGACGAGGGCAACTCAAACGCGACCTCCGGTTTATCGCTCGGAGGGGTCGCAACGTACTCAAGAAGGATACACCTTGCTCTTGGCAAGCAACAATGAGCCACGCGTCGAAGATTGGATTTGAAGTTCCCGCGGAGGCATTTCGCGCCGAAAAGTGTACTTTCCTTATACTTTCTCGAGAGCCAGGGACTCCGATCACCACCAAAATTTGCAGGGAGAACAAAGAGGCATTGGAGGCCACCCAGGAGGGCCACCGACCACCATGGAATACCACTGACCAGGTTTGGTGCAAGGGGGTGGTCGGCTTACCAGCAAAAGGTGGTCGGCCGACCACCTGTCCAGATCCGGGACAATTTTGTCTTGTTACACTTGTTTCTTTAAATGCACATGTCCCAATCACTATTCCTCACAACCTCAAGGCCAAAATCAGCTCTCCTTCCTTTCTAGACCATTTTCTCTCTCATATCTGCTCCTTATACGCGTTTTCCAACGCCCCACGCAAAGTTGTTTCGCGAAATCTTTCAGTTTTCTTCACTTTGTACCGATTAAAATTTGATTTCGGAGCTTCTTTCTCCATTTTCACCACTTGAGGTAAGTTTGTCTCAACATTTGGAACATTTTCTCGGGAGTTGACTTTTGTTGACTTTTTCATTTCCCGAGAGTTGACTTTTGTTGACTTTTTCTAATTTTGGCTCATTTTGCTCCTTTTTGCAAATTTCTTGAAATGACGGGTCATTTGCCTTATGGTGGAGGTCCTTCAGGTGCCGAGGGTGAGCCGGACATCATGTCATTGCCCCCGAGAGTTTGGTCGTTTAATCCCGAGAA